CAGTCTAATCATAATAGAGGCCATGTGGACGCACCTTCTGTAAAAGAATTACATCTCGATATAGGTATGGACCAATCCAAGAAAGCATTTGAAAGAGTTCCTTCCTAAGCTCCGTCACAGGAGCTTTTCGGGTAGAAACCTCTTGGTTCAACTTTGAAAAGTACGAAGGTCGAAGACGATTGTAGATTGGTGCAATAGTGTTTTCTATAATCCTGTAAGCTAATGTCAATTAACATCTTACAACAGTCAAGACGTTACCTTATCAGCCCGCTCGATATTCGCTCGTGCGCAACCGGATTAAGAGCAGCTAGACGCTCGAACAGGATGTTTGCGTGATGCCTATCAGCTCCGGATTCAATTAAGATAGACACTACAGTCATGCTTACCAATCGCCGACTGTCAGAAACCCATCAAGCAGCCCCAGCTTTTGATTCGTTACAAGCTCCATTACCCGCTCAGCTGTTGCTTCAACCTCGCCATCTAATGCGGCATAAAGGTCAATGTTTACGTCTCCGGGTTTCTCTTCCTCCATGAGATCTTTTCCAGTCGCCGCAAGATTTATCTTTCCTATTCTGTTCGCCTGCAGAAAACGTTGCGGCAAAAACTTATAAATTACAAATTACCTCCTCCATGCGCCTCTTAAGAATTTCCTCGTACTGTTCAAAAGCTTCTTCATCTTTAGGTGTTAAATGAGCATATCTAAAACAAAAATGAGTACGAGAAAGCAAAAAAGGAAGTGATTTACATGCTATCCAGGTCAACAAAGTCAGCCTTCACTAGAGTCGCAGCCAATCTATAAAGACCAGTTGGCACTGGTTCTTCAATCTCCGGACGTTGATAGTATTGGAACTTAAAACCAAGAATATGACAAAGATGAGACTGCAACATATATCAGCACGTTACAAGAATGCGAAAAAAAATAAGGCTTTACTACCTTTCGAAAAAGTGGCATCAAGCCAATAAAGGAAGTGTTCTCAGGATGTAATTCAAAAAACTCCAAAACCTGCAGTACTCACACTATCAAGTAAAAACTAAAAATTTCATCAAAACTTACAATGTCAAAAACTCTATTGGGATCGAGGTCGAAGTGCCCGATAAGAGACTGCATGATCGCGAATACAGTGAATACCGTGTGCTTCGTCTATTGCCTATAAATACCTTGATAGAGCTGGCGACAGCAGAACTGCTCTGAGAACTATCACTTCCACTTTGTTTCAAGAGAGTTAGCTAACAAGAAAAGCTAAAGTCAGCAACCATGACAAGCAACAGCAGTATAGTATTACCAGCTTTGCATATCCTTCACTCTCCTCCCGCAACAGATTGAACTTCGTCTGTTGGTATAACAGTCGTGTATTCACTCTAACCTGGAAAACACACAAAGATAATCTAAAGAAGATAAACAGCGTCAGCGTACCTCCTTCGACTTCAAATCCGGAGCTTTGATCTTGATCATTTCCACCTCCCATAAGAACTCAGCCTCACAGCGCTCTTGGAAGAGACGAACAGGGACCAAACCAGATTCCGCAAGCCATTTCGCCTGCAAAGCACAGTATAAACAAGACCATCTATACATTTAAAAAAACTTACAAGGTCGACAAGCCGCGATCGAAATTCCCCAGGTACAGTGAGCTGCATAGAAGATCGTGGTGACCTCCAAATCATTTTTTTCTATCGATAGAAAACCAAAAGCTATACCTCTAAGCTCATGTGAGCAATAGCATCGGCAAAATTGGAAGCGATATCTTCCTTAAGAGTCGACTCCAGAAAATTCACAGCATCGAGGCCTACTCGGCATTTACTAAGTGGCAGCTCTCCTCGGACCTGCATTTCCAACTCAATCGCTATGAGAAATATTTTCTCAATCCAAGAGCTCACATACCATCGTCCAGCAGAGCTCGTAGATAAATCGATCCGGAGGAACAGCAGCGTGAATCTTAGTCGCGGCATTCGTCGACTTCCATTCCCGGATGTGCTCGCTCGTCACGTACTTGCAATTCAGCGCTATTAGAGCCATCTCCCTCAGAGAGATCGCCTCCTTCTCTTCAGCTCGGCGCCGCGCCTCTTCACAGCATTCTCATTGTGTACCTGGCGAGCGCCTCGTCGTCCACACCATTGAAACCCTACTAGTGCTTTCACTTAGGGCTTTTGAGCTAAAAGAATTTAGGGTTCTTACGCTACTGTGGCGATGGCGGCGCGTGCGATGGATGCTCCGCCGGTGACGCGATCGACGACCGCAAGCTCGATATTTCGAGGTCAGTGTGCATGAAATGTAAGGAGGAAGGTGGCGCTCGCGAATCAGACGGAACCGAGCAAATTCGAGACGGTGCTCAACTCTCATGCGCCGGTGAGCGCGCAGGATAAGATCTTGCTGGGGGATCCGTCGTCGCGAGTAGCGCTCGAGTTCCTGGCCGAGATAAGATCCGAGGCACTGGCATCCAGGGCTTTGAATGCTCCGGGGCTTGGTCTCGGTGTGAGGGGCTAGCGATTGGAACTTCCAGGGCCATGTAGTGGAAAAGATAGTTTCCGGACTTCCTTTACGACTGGAAGAGATTTTCGACGACGATCATGCCACACAGCTCAACCTTTTGCTCGACTCCGTCAAGGACGTGGAGCTGGAGCGGCAAAGGTCGTCAACTTCCAAGGTTAGCATGGAGCTCGGAGCGATCGAGTGGGATCAAGCGGGCTGAGCAACTGGAGCCCGAGCAGCAGCAGCAGCGAGGAGCGTGACGAAAGAGTTTGGCACAAAATCAAGATTGCAGAGCATTGCATAAGGTCGCATGCTTCAGAAGATACATACATAAGATAGAAAAAAAAAAGAAACATCAATGGATAGGTAGAGATTAAGAGAGCGATTGTTGAGGAGAGGCCATAGACGAGTGCAAGTGACACAAAATACCACCCCGTCGTCGTGTGTATAACGTGCATGCTTTCTGCTTCCCAAGAGGCATGTAGTGACACGAAGGCTGTGTTGCTGCTGGAATAACCCTATCTAGAGCTGCCAGTGCGCTATCGAATGCTCCGTAACCCATGAAGACGTCCGTGTAGTGATCATAGTTGCACACCACACCACAGGCTGGTACCCGGTCTCCAAAGCCAATCCAGATGAAGTAGACGTGGTATGGGACGTCGCACGCTTTAGTCACCTCGGACATGAAGTTTGCTGCTCGCGTCTCGTGGTGAGAGGCGAAGTCTTCGTCCAAGCCAATGACAAAAGTCTTGCCTGGCATGTTAACCAAGACCCGTGGCCAATTCATTGGCATCTCATCCAGCAGCATTTGCTCGTGATGCCCGTGTGGCAACATCCAACTGGGAGCCTCCAACTTGACGCTGTTTACAACCATGGTTTCCCTCACAGGTTCCAAGTGCACCCGTTTCCGCAGCTTGATCACTGTGGCTAATGCCATCAAGCAGTTCCACGAGTAGCTGCGCCCGCTGCTGCTGCTGCTGCTGGTCTGGTGCATTACAGGCCACAGCCAAAGATCTAGCACTTCCTCCAAGTCTAGGCTCGTAAGCTGCAGTGATCGGAACGACAGGTGCGCCTGGAAGCGAGAAAGGCAGTCGCCCATTCCAGATCCATCCATGAAAAGCACGCAACCTGTTTTCCCCATGAGCTGATATACAGCGTCTGAAGGAGGAGGCATCTTGCAACCTGAAAGAGCCTTCAAAACCAGCCTCCACTCCCTCTCGTCTAGCGGCTGCTTGAGAAAGCCATCCAGCAGCAGGAGGTGACGATCCAGCCATAGGTTGGGACTTCCACTGGCGTAGCATTCGAGCAAACTAGGTACACCACCCGTGTTGTACCACAAGCTGTCGAGATCCACACTCTCCTCCAAGAAATCCATCCCCCGCGGGCCTCGCTTCTCCAGAAAGCAATGCATCTCCATGCCCACAAAGCCAGGAGGCACTTGGAAAACCGACGATGGAGGTCGACCAAGGCACAAAGGCGCCTTTGCCGCATAGATGACAGTCGCACCACCAGTCGCGAGAAGTGGCACGGCATACTTTCTCGCACTCTCCAACGCCCACTTCTCTGCAAAGGTATCTGCACGGTTAACGAAGAAGTAGATGGCTTCCTGGCGTTGCTCCAGCCACCGCATCGCAGCCTCCCACGTCTCAATGTCCACCAGCTCGGCAAGCGCTGCCTCGTTCCTGCCATATGACACGGACAAGCCGAGCAAAAGAGTTTCCAGAGGCGCCTCAGCGAAGTAGGCACCCTCTATGTAGACGACGGCAACTTCCTGGAGAACATAGAATCGCTTCAAGGACTGGAGAAGTTACTTCACGTACCGGTCGATTAAACGCCAAGAAAGCAGCAAGTGTAGCGAGAAGGAACGACTTCCCTAATCCTGCTGCTCCTGCAATGCAGCCGAAATCGCCAACTTGTTGCTTCTCCACGAATGCAAGAGCATCGAGGAAACAGGGGCGTCCCATGTAGTCGAGCCAAGGTCCCGGCGTGCTCTCAACTGTTGGGACTCTCACCCTGACTGACATTCGGGGCGAGGATAACTGCGCGGCCTCAACCGCAGTCATGCTTTGCACCACCTCCCGCCAAACATTCCTCGCCCGCCACATCCTACCTTTCATCATCCTCATGCCTCAAACCCTAACCTGAAACCCTGATATTTATGATTGAATGAAAATATTTGGTTTGCTTAATAGTAGTGTTATTTCTATTTAATAATTTAATTAAATAAATTAATTTTTCAAACATGTTTATAATTTATAGACACAAGATTAATTTTATTAATATTATAGTAGAATAAATTAGAATATACTAGGAAGTGTAGGAAAATTTATAAATTATAAATACAAAATTAATCTAAATGAATAATTGCTAATATATGATGTGAGGGTCAAACATATTTTAGATATATCTTTAGGTTTGTTTAAACAAGCCAAACATAAATAAAGATAAAATAACCATTAAAAACTCTTTAATAATTGATATAAATATTCTTGTAAACTTTACTTTTAGGGCTTTTGAGATTGAAAGAATTTAGGGTTCTTACGATGGCGGCATGCTCTGGCGCGTGCGATGGATGCTCCGCCGGTGACGCGATCGGCGATCGCAAGCTCGATGTTGCGAGGTCAGTGTGCATGAAATGCAAGGAGGAAGCAGCCGTGGCGCTCGCGAATCAGACGGAACCGATGTGCGCGCAGTGCCTTCGATCCAGCATTCTCGGCAAATTCAAGACGGTGCTCAACACTCATGCGCTGGTGAGTGCGCAGGATAGGATCTTGCTGGGATTTTCTGGGGGTCCGTCGTCGCGCGTAGCGCTCGAGTTCCTGGCCGAGATAAGATCCGAGGCACTGGCATCCAGGGCTTTGAATGCTCCGGGGTTTGGTCTCGGTGTCGTCTTTATCGACGAGGGGCTGGCGATTGGAACTTCCAGGGAAGAAAGGAGCCATGCAGTGGATGTAGTGGAAAAGATAGTTTCCAGGCTAGAGCTTCCCCTAGTCGTCAGGCGACTGGAAGAGGTTTTCGACGACGATAATCAGGAGGATTGTTCCACACAGCTCAAGAATTTGCTCGACTCTGTCAAGGATGGAACTGGAAAGGAGGATATAGTGGAGATACTTCGCATGGAACTGCTGGAACAAGTTGCAAAGAAGGAAGGATACACTAAGTTGGTGCTGGGACTGTCGACGACAAGGATTGCCGCTCGGGTGGTTTCTGCCACAGCCAAAGGCCAAGGCTTCGCTTTGGCAGCTGGAGTACAGTACGTTGATTCGAGGTGGCATGCTCCGGTCGTGCTTCCGCTCAGGGACTGTGCTACGAAGGAACTAGCGCTGCTGTGCCACTTTTTCCACCTCGAGACGCTGTTCTTGACGAACTTTTCTACTCTTGTGGAGCCTAGCGCCAGCACCATCAACAGCCTGTGCAGCAACTTTGTGTTCACGCTACGAGAGGACAACTCTTCCAGGGATCACACGATCGTTAGAACTGCCGGGAAGCTGACGCCATTCAGTTTCAACCATCTCGCGCCGTCCAACGGAGATTCTCGGTCCATGCGGAAGAGACGGGGCGTTAAGACGGAGCTGTCAAACAGTGGAAGCAACATGGAGGCACTGTGCGTTTTGTGTCGAGCTCCAGTAGATGGCCGCTCGCAGTTAGAGGATGATCCACGCTACTGTCGGAGCTGCACGCTGCAGATTGTAGACGACAGCAAAGTTTGCAACTTACTTCCTCGCCACATTCAAGCGAGACGAGCCGGTCAGGCGTGGATGAAGTCGAAGATCGAGGAATTCTTGCTTTAAGTAAGAAGGAAGGCCCGGGAAGAGAAAAGCTTACAGTACTAGCAGCCAACAGGTGCGTCAAAACAGGCCAGTTTCAGTACAAGTGGGGACTACGAAATGCCAAAACCGGAAATTCATATGTCCAGAGCTCTGGCCATTTCAAAACGGGGAGGCACAGCAACCAAGACGGTGATGTTTTGGTGGCTAGCAGCAGCCTCGCAACTTTTTAGAGACGCGTCAAGAACTACCCTACCATCTGGGTCCAGTGGTGGGAACCAGCAGACAAGTCTCGCCAGAAGCCTTGAAAATTCTCGTCACCAAGCACCAAGAGCAGATGGAGCCGAGGCGTGTTTCATATTCTATTTCGTCGAGATCAGCACGGTTTCCAGGCAGACGCGAAAACCGTGGACTGGTCCTTCCAAGTGAGGAACAAGGCACTACTTTGGTGGTGTAGACACCCCCAGCCTTCCTTGTACCGCTTCAGTAGCGCTCGTATATCGTCACGGACATCGTCGCTGAAGTTACTCGGTCGGAATCCCACTTTCTTCAAGACTCTGGACCACTGGGAATGGCTGTATTCTCGCTCGAAGTCATCCTCACTGCAAGAAACTATTGTCAGGATGTTCCGAGCGACGATTCGCTCCAGCATAAGCCGCTCGTTGCTGGTCCGGACAAAGCTCTCTTCCAGCGACTCGAAGACAAGCGAGTAGAACCTGAGAGCCTCGCAGAAGGACTTTAGGAAGTCTGTCGAGGCGAAGTCGGCCTGGTGGTCGACAATCGTGACGAGCTTGGGCTTCATGCCGTGGAAAGTAGCGAGCATCTTTTTCCTCGAGGAGCTCCCGGAACTCAAACTCATCGGGCTTTGACAGGATTTCTTGTGGACGCGATTGAGGGAGCTGACACAGTTGATGACAAGTGCTTCACCCGGCTGGACCTCGAGCCTTTCAGCGTCGAGCCTCTCCATCTCTGGCTCCTGGAGAGCCTTAAACTCGAAAGGTACTCCCATCAGCCTCGCAAACTTTTGCAGCCTGTTTCCAATCTCTTTCATCACTTTGGCTGCAGACTCCTCGCTGTTGGTGGTGACGGTGGTGAGCCTCAAATGCGGTGCGCCCTCCGGCCTCGTCGCCAGCGCTTCCAGAAAAGTCGGCCACTGGGTGCAAAAGGTGTTGCTGATGTCGACGATGTGGAGCCGAGACTCACCTTCGGCGGCCTCGAGAATCACTCCGTTCGCAGCAACATGGCCGAAAGTTGACCACGGGCTCACCTCCTGGAACTTGAGCATCATCTTCCGAGTCGAGTCGAACGAGTAGCCTCTCTCGGCGGCGGAGCTGAGGATGCGGTGGCAGCGGCTTCCAGTCCCGGTGATCTTGCAGAAGAGTCCCTGGAGGAAGCTCGAGGCGATTCGCTGGTCGAAGTCACCGTATGGAGAGGAGAGCTCGTTGAGTAGCCACATGAGGCGCTGGACCCGAGACACATCCTTGGAGGACACAGCTCTGGCACACTCGAGCAGCAAATTTGGAGCCCAGTGGTGGTTCCTCTCAGTTGGATTCAACAACGCTGGAGTGGAGGAGCTCCTCACTTCTAAGTTCCCGTCAAGAGGTGAGAGATCTTCTCGTTCTTCTTCTTTGCTTTCTTTCGCTCGGCAATTCTCATTCTCAGGGAAGAAATTCTTGCAGGTGTGCTCCATGAACGCGATAGCCGCGTTTGAAGTTCCGTCCGTACGATTTGTACGGCCGCGGTCGTGCCACGTGGTGTGGTCCACCTCGCCGTCCAGGGGACACGTGTCGGCACGGCACCGGCCAAGAGGCGGGCTAAAATTGCCCCTGGTAATTTGCTAGGGGATATACCTGGGAACATTCTCATCCCAGCCTTTTACACCTTTTCCAGGGATTCGCGGGAGGAGGGAAAGAAGGCCGCGCGGATCGAGCTCGCATTGCGCTTGTGGAGGTGATCGCTGGCGGGCTTTGGCGCGCGCGTCGTGGATTCCGATCGAATCGAGGTCTCTGGCGCTCTTGATTGGCGTGGTCTAGATCTGTAGCTCAGCCCTAACAGCCCTTTCCAGGCGCAATGGGGATCTGGGAAGCGTTCTTGAGCTGGTTGAAAAGGTATGGAGCGTCGAATCCATGCTTGGGTCTCACAATTCTCTTGGATTGATTGCTCTGTAGCCTCTTCTTCAAGCAAGAGATGGAATTATCAGTAATAGGACTACAAAAGGCTGGCAAGACGTCCCTTGTCAACTCCATCGCTGTAAGTTCCAAGTTCTCTCTTTTCTCGCTCTTTCGCTGATGGTTATCGATTTTCTAGACTGGAAGCTTTAGCGAGGACATGATTCCTACAGTGAGTAGTCGATTTTCTCGCTGGAAGTTCCTTTTCTTACGCTGCTTCTCTCTCTCCCAGGTTGGTTTCAACATGAGAAAGGTTTCTAAAGGCAATGTGACGATCAAGCTATGGGACCTTGGAGGCCAAGCGCGGTTTAGAAGTATGTGGGAGCGATATTGCCGTGGCGTCTCAGCCATTGTGTAAGAGCTGTCTTTCGATTTATCTCTTCGCATGGTTTTCACGAGTTTTTTGCTTGCGATGGCCCAGATACGTGGTGGATGCTGCTGACCCGGAAAACATTCCAATAGCCAAGAGCGAGCTACACGATATACTGAGCAAGCCATCTCTAAACGGGATTCCTCTCCTCGTTCTCGGCAACAAGGTTGACAAGCCCGAGTGTCTATCCAAGCAAGCATTCGCCGAAGAGATGTAAGTTCTTTCTCTCTCATCTTTGCGAACTTGAAAGAATCACATCTTTTCTCTTGCTCTCGCAGGGATCTTCACAGAATCCAACACCGAGAAGTCGCTTACTACATGACCTCTTGCAAGAACACCACAAACATTGATGCAGTAATCGATTGGCTCATCAAGCATTCCAAGAAGAAGCACTAAACGAGAAAGAAAAAACCAAGTGTAGATACGAGAGATTCTGGTATTCTTTTCTGGTGTAAAGCGTTTTTTTTTTCCTTTTCTCCTGTGTTTCTTCGTGTTTTGTATAAATGGTATTATAGTAGATTGGAATTCTTAGTGTTAATATTGTACTGGAAGTTCGTATTGATACTGTATCTATACTCTGGGAAGTTCTTGTTCTTGAGTGCTCGCATAGATGTTTCCCATCAACACAAAAGGAGAAGATCTTTGCCTGTCAAAACTTAGCAGCTTCTCAAACGCGATCTTTCCAACTTCCACGTTCTTCCACTTTTGACACGCTCCCAGCAAGATCGTCCACGTAACTTCATCCGCTTCCACCGGCATGGTTTCGATCAAGGCCAGCGCTCGATCAAACCGGTTTGCTCGTCCGAAAAGATCCACCATGCAGTGGTAGTGATCAATCCCCGGCCGGATCCCAAACTCTCGAGACATTGCTTGGAAGTAGCGCTCGCCTTTGTCGATCAAGCCCGAGTGACTGCAAGCTGTGAGGATGGCGAGGAACGTCCCGGAGTTTTCCTTACATCCTTCTTCTTGCATGGAGGAGAGTTTCTCGAAAACTCGACTGGAGTCTCCCTGTCGACTATAGCCAGCCAGGAGCGAGTTCCAAACGAGAGCTCCAGGCCTGTCGAGCGTCTCGAAGATCTGCTGCGTGATCTCTATCCTTCCAGACTTGGCGTAGAACTCGAGCAGCGAGCTTGCGACCGCGGCGTTGCTCTCGAAACCAAACTCGCAAATTCGGGCGTGGAGCTGTCGAGCAGTGGTGTTTGCGGCGATGAGTTTCCCGCAGGATGTGATCCCGGCAGCGTAAGTTAGAGCGTTTTTGTTGCAGCTCTCGGCATCCATCCGGGAAAACAGTTCTAGAGCTTGCTCGGCCTCGCCGTTGTCGGCATAGCCGAGGATGAGAGCCGTCCACGAGACCACGTCGCGCTGGGAGATCCTCTCGAAGGCCCTGCGAGCGTTGTCCATGCTTCCACACTTTGCGAAAGTCGTGATGAGAGCGTTGCCGACAAAGAGCTGCGAGTCCAGGCCTTTCTTCGCGGCCTGAGAGCACAGAGCTAAAGCCTTCTCCAGAGACTTTGGCTTGGATACGATCGTCTTCTTCTTCGCTTCGTCGTCGACTTTCTTGCCAGCTTCCAGCGCTGCCGAGCTTCCACAGGCCGTCAGTGCCGCCACCATCGTTCGGGCATCGGCTTCACAGCTCATGTGAGAGAAGAGCTCGAGAGCAACGTCGGGTTCCCCGTTTTCGGCGTAGCCAAGGATCAAAGAGTTCCACGAAACCACGTCGTGCTGCTTCATACTGTCGAAAACCTCTCGGGCTTCCACCATCTTCCCAAACTTGGAGTACATCTCCACCAGAGCAGTTGCCACGAACAAGTCCGAGTCGCAGCCCGCCTTCGAAGCTCGAGAGTGAATCCCAGTCCCTTTCTTCACGACTTCTTCGTCCAGATCTTTCTTTTCCCTCGCTGCTGCTAGACTCGAGCAAGCCGTGAGAGCAGCGACGTAAGTCCGAGCATCTGCTGCACAGCCTTCTTCCAGCATTCGATCGAAGATCTCTAAGCCCACCTCGCTTTCACCGTGCTCCACATATCCCTGGATTAAAGCCGTCCATGACACCACACTCCGGCAAAACATCCCCTCGAAAACCGTCCGAGCTCGAGCCAAGCTTCCACACTTCGCGTACATGTCCACCAGCGAATTCTCCACAAAAGTGTGAGACTCGCAGCCTGCCTCCTTTGCATCCGCGTGTAGAGCCATCCCTCTTTCCAAGCACCTGGCTTTCACCACTTTGCCTTCCACCACCTTTCCTTCTTCCTTCTCTGCGAGGCTAGAACAGGCCATTAGAGCAGCAACGAAAGTCCGAGAATTTGGAAAGCAAGAGCCTGGAGAAGAAGATCGCATGGAAGCGTAGAGCTCCAAAGCAACCTCTTCATCACCGTTGGAGACGTATCCCTGCATGAGAGAGTTCCAGCAGAAGGCGTCACGGTGGCTCATACACTCGAAAACTCTGCGAGCGTCGCTGGTACTCCCGCATTTGCAGTACATGTCGATCAGCGTGGTTGCGACGTGGATGTCGGTGTGGACGCTGGCCTCGATCGCTTTCGAGTGAATTCTCTTGCCTCGATCCAAGTCTCGCAAGCTCGAGCACACTTTCAATGCCGCGAGTATGTCGGATCTGTTCTTCTTTTGCTCTTGGATCCGAGAGAAACTCCTCGGCACTGTTGTCCTGGATGAGGATGGATTGGTCGCAGTTAGATTGCTCCACTGCAGCATTTGCCACTACTATAAGCACAAGAAAAAACTACAGAAAAATCTTACATTTGCTCTCGAAAGCTTCCAGATCTTCCCAGGTGTGATGAAACAAAGATCTTTCCTCCACTGCATCAAAAGCATTTACACTAGATGAGCGTAGAAAACATTGTCTAGAACTATAGAAGCAACGTACTCAGAGAAAAATCCTTGGTTCCTTGTGTAATGGATTTTAGTGTGACTCCTGTGAGCGTAGAAATAAATCCAAACCCTGCAGACTAGAGAAACCGATCGAGCATTTGAGAAAATCGAAGAAAAAAATCTCCTTCAATGCCTCCAAAGAAACAGATAGCACTGGCGAGCGCTAAAGAATCTATGTGGAGTGATAAATCGACTCCAGAGTAGAGAAGATCACTCACATTCGCGCGATAGCCCAAGCCCTAAAGCCCTGGGCGATCCCAGCCGCCCATCTCTTACGGGCATCTGGGCCGTGCATCGCCAAGATATTTCGCGTTTGATGCCCAATCTTTGGATATTTCGATGAGGGGGGCATCTGGCTGGGGTTAGGGTTCTAGCGGCATCGCGGCAGGGAAGCGCCTTGGCAAGAAGGTAAGCCACGAATTACGCGCTGCCGAGCCGCACAGCTCGGCATTTCCTTTCTTGGCCATGGAATGCCTGCCGCTGTCTCTGCAAATGCCGTTCTTGGGGTTTCTTGCCTGGCATTTGAGATCCAGCTCGCATTTTCGCTCGCGCAGCTCTCACGTTTTCGCATTTTCTTGTCCAGTGTGGGAGCTGGGCGAGGGAGATCTTGTGAGTCATGGCCGAGGAGGATGATCTCATCACCATTGTGGACGTGACCGACCCGGACGACCCAAGCTACGCTGACGTCAAGACCCGCCGCCGCCCACTCACAGATGCCGAGCTCGCCACGCTCAAGCCCATCCTCGAAAAGGTTGGAGCCTACAAGTTCTTCACCATGGAGTTCAACTTCGCCGACGGCCCGGCCGTGAAGCAGTTCATCGAGAGCGTGGAGCTGGAAGAGTTCAAGAGGACCAAGCAGCGCAAGATCGTCCAGGATGAGATGAAAGGGACCGTGGCTGGCCGGGAGGTGGTGCTCAATGCGGAGCTCATCGAGAAGGCATTTGGGCTGGTGGACGACGGGGAGAACATATCCAAACCGAAAGGAGAGACTAACGGGCTCCATGCCTTCTACATCAAACCAAAGTACGTCCATCTCTGCCAGAACTACCGGGGTGTCTATCTCAAGCTCTTCAAGTCCGAGTACTCCTACTTCGTCAACATGGCTCACCAGATCCAGGCCTACTGCTGTGGAGGCCACTCGGAGCGCCAGATAACTCTCACCCAGTACCGAGCGATCGACCTGATGATCCGGGGCAAGCCCGTCAACTGGAACCGGTACCTCCTCCAGAACTTCCAGGACAAGCTGCGGAAGTACAAAGCCGGGCCTTGTCCTCTCTACTTCGGTGGGACGCTCACGGCTCTCATCTACAAGGCGCTGCAGGTGGACTACAGCCTCGTCAACAAGCCACTGCTCATCTCGCCGCAGACGCCCGAGAGGATCACTGCAGCGGATGCCGAGAGGGGGAAGAAGCGCGAGCGGGAGAAGGAGAGGACCAAGGAGCAGCGTCTCATCAAAGACTCTGGTCCGCCCAAGAAGCGGGAAGCCGTGAGGAGGCACGTCGGGGCCATGACGAGGGCCCAGAGGATGCTCACTGGCGAGAGCCTTCTGGACGAGGAGGAGCCACCCGCGGCATCGGCCAAGCAGCAGCAGGACAGGAAGAGGAAGCGGCTCAAGCAGCGCGTTAAGTTGGCCAAGAAGCACAAGACGTCGGAGAAGGCATCCGCTGCTCGGGAGCAGTCACCTCCCTACACTCCGGCATTCACGATCTCGCCATGCACCACTGGCGGCGAGGAGGAACCGGTCAGCTCGGGGCCGTTTGAGCTCAAGAAGAGGTTCGGCGATACTGGGAAGTCGGGCCGCGAGATCGTCTTGTCCACCGCCACCGAGAGGCTGTCGAGGCTGTACGCACAGGCGACTGGTTCTCCGCGGGATCTCGACACTCCCCCTCCGGACGACACATTGGCACTCACGGCCTCCAAGGAGCTGTGGTCCAAGTACGATCATCTCTCGAGCCTCCAGCAGGAGTACCAGCTCGAGCACATCGTCTCCAAGCAGATGCTGGAACAGTCGCTGCAGCGGGTCCAGGAGCTGGAGGACGCGCTCAAGGAGCGAGACCGGAAGGTGACGGAGCTGGAGAGCTCCAAGGCGGTGCTGGAGGAGAAGCTCTCGTCGCTGGCGACCGGGGATGGCAACCATGTCAGCTACGCGGACGAGGACGCCGCCGCGCAGGGACCGCTCAAAGTCCGCCTCAAAGCTGGCCAGAAGAAGATGTCCGCGGAGAACTCCCCCGAGGACGAAGCTCCCGCGGTGGCCATGGAGGCGGAGAAAGAGAAGGAGGCGGAGAAAGAGAAAGAGAAAGAGAAGGAGAAGGAGAAGCCCACCAGCGATGAAGCGGTACCCGAGAACTTGGAGGAGGTGGTGGAGGAGGCCGAGAAAGAGGGCAGCGGCAACGGCAAGGAATCCAGTGACAAGAGTGACGCCCCGGTGAAAGCGCCGGAGCTGGACACGCAAAAGCTCAAGGCGATCGAAGAACAGGTAGCGGCGGTGGCCAAGGCGCAGGAGAGCAAGGACGCGGAGGCTTGAGAGAGTGAGTTCTTTGTTCTTTGTTTCATCACACCATGCATCGTTCTGTGATTTATCATCCATGTTCCTTTTTCCAGTTAAAGGTTGAGCTTGACAATGTATAAAATGTATGATCATAGTTAAGGTTCTCTGGAGGATCTCAGAAGGATTCGTGGAGTTTCCTTGTGGAAACTATGTCAGATCTTGCGCGCTCCGATCGATACGCAGAGCTCATCAGATCCGCGACAACCGTCCAGCAACTGAACGCCACCATCTCCTGATCCAGCACTGCAGGAGGCTTTTGCGATCTCGACTCCGCGCGCCAGGCCTTTGATGCCATCGCCCATCGACAAGACTGCCATTCGTGGGTTATGATAATCACTGCATATACCCAGAATGAGCATCTTGAAGCTGCCCAGGCTGTGATTTATGCAATGCCCGAGCAACGCAATGCTTGCGCTCTATGCTCAAACTGGGGATTTGGATGCCGCTGCTAATTTGTTGTTTGATTTTATGCCCTCCACTGACGTGGTGGCCTGGAACGCGATGCTCGCAGCATATGCCCAGGGTGGGGATATTCTTAGTGGGAGCACTGCTTTGACAGCATATGCTCAGGCTGGGAATTTTGATGGAGTGATTGATTTGCTTCACACCATTCCAGTGAGAGATTATGCCAACCTGGATCAAGCGTCAGGATGCATTGTGTTTGTGGCTTATTCCCAGCTTAGGCAGCTTGAGCAAGCAAAGGCAGTGTTTGATTCTATGCCCGAGAAAAACGTTGTGCTTTGCACAATGTGCCTACTCGAATTGCGATAGGTTAGAAGATGCCGAGGCCGTGTTTGTAAATATGCCAGCATCTCAAAATGCAATGTTTGCACCCACCACGGGCATCTCCACCAATATACAATTTTGTTTTCCAGTGCTCCAGAAACAAACACGATAACTTGGACTTTTATTATTCTGACATTGAGAACCTTGTATCAAGCTCCAGCGTTGGACGTTTCATCCTGGAATGCTGTATTAACTGCATATACACAAAGAATTTTTTTTTCGTTGGTGATGACCACAACCCGAGGTGCCTTGGAATATAATGCTAACTGTGTGTGCTCAAAATTGTGACTTTAAGATTACAAAATGGCAGGTCTATGGTTGCTTATTATGGTTATAGCCCAAGGTTTTTTGTAATATGATGATAATGATGAAAAGTAAATGGTTTACAAGTGGCAAATTAAAATAGAAAGCTTTTAGGCAGTGTAAAAATTTCATAATCATGCATGTGGTGGGTCATCGTTATAAATCCTATTATCACTTTGTCAAACTCCAAAGAAGCTCCAAAGCAACTGCATTTGCAGTACATTAGTTGCCACGTGGATGTTGGTTTCAAGTGAATTCTTGCCTCGATCCAAGTCTCGCAAGGCTCGACCACGCGTTCACCGAGTATGTCGGACTTGTTCTTCTTTTGCTCTTGGATTCGAGAGAAACTCCTCGGCACTGTTGTTCTGGATGAGGATGGATTGGTCGCAGCTAGATTGATCCACTGCAGCATTTGCTACTACTATAGAAAATCTTCTAGATCTTCCCAGCTGTGATGGAACATAGATATTTCGTCCAGTGCATCAAAAACATTTACACTAAGTTGATCGTAGAAAACTTAGTCTAGAACTATAGAAGAAACATACTCAGAGAAAAGTCCTTGGTGCCTCTTATTTTCGCAGCTCTCTGGAGACTCTTGTGAGCGTCGAAGATAAATCCTTCTTAGCTGCGGACAAGAGAAATCAATCTATAAACGAGAGAAAAAACTATAGAAATCTTAAATTTTCTCTCAAAAGCTTCCAGATCTTCCCAGATGATGAAAAAGAACTGCATCAAAAGCATTACACTAGAAAACAAAATCTAGGAACTATAGAAGCAAAACCTCCTTTAGAGAAACTCGGTTCACAATAAAGTTACCACGCGTGTTTAAATCTAGACCGTTATTCATAGGGTACAAATATTAGCCGTCAGATTAAGAACATATTCATTCTATAAGAAGAATGAATTTCAGTGAACAAAGGAGGCGGACCATATCTTATCTCAATCCTCTCTCACTCAAGAGCCATGGAGGAGGATGAGTTCTTCTCGCCAGTAACTTTGAAATCGTAGTTGACACGCCCTGTGTTTGTAGACCAGACTGGACGATACAAGACCACATTTCCATCGTCCTGAACTCTCAAGGTGTTGCCTCCACTTCTATCAGTACCACTTGCCCAAAGTGCGCGCCTATTGCCATCGTATACAACCAGGTTTCCATCGGGTTGGAGGGTGAGGTAGCAATTCCTCCCGCTCCCGCCTGTGTTGCTTGCCCAGATAGGATTGAAATCCCCCTGGCCTCCATACAGCACCAAGTTGCAATCCCTCTGCATTCGCAGCGAGACGTAGCCACTTTGGGAGCGAAGCTCGTCACCTTGGTAGAGGGTTTCTCCAGAACCCAGTGTATCTCTCGCGCTGCACACGGTAAGCAAGGCAAGAGCAAGGAAATAGTAGAAGATCAAAAGCTTCGCCATAGCTAGGAAGTAGAGAGCACTGTTTCTTGGTGGCTTGACGAGCATCTTATATAGCAAAGGCATAAAAAACGTTGTTCAGCTGTGTCTATCACTGCAAGAAAGCTTCAACAGTGTATATGTACCATGCTTTGGACCACCACGTTTAAACAACTCTTTAGCTGCTTCAGTTCACCTATCATATCTTGGACCACGTTGCTAGCCTTCAACTTTTTTTCTGTAGTTGTGGCCAAGATAAAGTAGAGCGTTTTGGCTGCAAGTTCAAGGCTTTTTTGCAGCATGGTCATGATGACATCAGTTCCCTTGCCTCCTTCAAGTACCAGATCCACTGAGAAGAACGATCAAGCACCAGTAGTGTTGGATCTCTTCACAAGCAAACCCGGCTGAACACAACAACATTGCATCTTCCCAGTTGCAACAATATCAAGATCATGCAAATTAAATTCAGGAGTGAGCTTATAGTTCAAATCATTTAGAAGGATTGAGTGGAGTGAGAGGAGGTTAAGAGTTTTGTTTTCTATTATGATGGTCAAGCCTTGCTTCTTACTACTCCTCTACTCAGACCATCACCACTTGCATGATAAAGGGACAGATTCTAAATAATTTTCTGTTTACAAATTACAAAAGGTGGCTAATATAATTAATTAAATTAAGGTAAAACCTAATCTTTACACTAAATTTTCCAACAAGCTATAGGACCCACATGGATTACTGATCATCACATCAAGCATATGAAAGTAATACTATCCTCAACTTCCAAGGACATTAAGACTGTGCAAAAGTGGTGAAAGTATTCTTACGATGAATATTACTGAAAAATATTTTACTGATTAGATCTTTTTATTGTTAGGGAGGCCGTGAGCCACTCTCTTCCATGCTCCCAGCAAGCCAAATCCTCCAGATGTGATCCCAAATCTCTCCCCTCGCAAAGATCCTTGACGCCAAACCTTACCGTAATCAAGAGACCAATTATGTTTATCTATACAAGACCATTAATATGTTTATTAAATTATCAATCAACAATGTTGGTGCCTACACACAAAACAGATGTATGTGCTCTCCTCACTCACCTGAGACAAAAGAATGTAAACAACAGAGGGAGCAAAGTTGATGACAAGTATAGCAGCTGGAGGATTTGCTTGAACAATGCCAATCTCTGCCTTGCAAGCTCCCAATTGTGAAAAGCTCTACACCAAGGAGATGAGGCAAGTCGAGGACGAGCTTAAAAGTTGGAACAGTAGATTTTTTATCTTGGGGCTTTATTCATTCCACTTTGAGAAACTCGCCTGGAGTTTCTATGTCAGATCTTTTTGCACGCTCCGATCGATATGCAGAGCTCATCAAATTCGCAACCACAGTACAACAACTCCAGCAACTTCACGCTGACATTCTCTGCAACCCAGCGGGATATACAGTGCACACCAGCAATCTCCTGATCCAGCACTGCAGCATGCTTGGCGATCTCGACTCTGCGCGCCAGGCCTTTGATGCCATCGCCCATCGGCGAGATTGCTACTCGTGGGTCATGATGATCACTGCATATACCCAGAATGGGCATCTTGAAGCTGCTCAGGCTGTGATTTATGCAATGCCGGATTGTAATCTTGTGGGATCAAATGCAATGCTTGCGCTCTATGCGCAAACAGGGGATTTGGACGCCGCCCTGGATCTCTTTGATGCCATGCCTGTAAGAACCCTAATTTCCTGGACTTCCATTCTTGCAGCATATGCCCGTGTCGGGCATCTTGATGACGCAACGCGTACGTTTTATTCAATGCCCGAATGGAATCTTGTTGCATATACGGCTATTATAAGAGCATATTTCCAGCTTGGGTATCTAGATGGTGCTAAAGCCGTGTTTGATTCCATGCCCTCCAAAGACGTGGTGGCCTGGAACTCGATGCTCGCAGCATATGCCCAGAGTGGGGATAATCTTAGTGCCTGCCGTGTTTTCTATGCCATGCCAGAGTGGAATTTTATCTCTTGGAACACTGCTTTGACAGCATATGCTCAAGCTGGGAATTTTGATAGAGTGATTGATTTGTTTCACACAATTCCAGTGAGGAGTCAGCTCTCTTACAATGCTCTTCTCTATGCGTATGTGCAGAAAGGAGACTTCTCAAACGCGAATCAAACGTTTGAGATTATGCCAACCTGGGATCAAGCGTCAGGATGCATCATGCTTGTGGCATATTCCCATCTCGGGCATCTTGAGCAAGCGAAGGCAGTGTTTGATTCTATGCCCGAGAAAAACATTGTACTTTGCACAAGTCTCTTGTGTGCCTACTCAAATGGCGATAGGCTAGAAGATGCCGAGGCCGTGTTTGTGAATATGCCCAGACACGACATTGCATCTCAAAATGCAATGCTGGCAGCATATGCCCGACACGGGCATCTTTACAAAGTAGCAAGTTTGTTTTCCTGTGCTGTGGAAACAAACACTATAACTTGGACAACTCTGATTTCTGCTTATATAACACATGGCTTTATTAGTCTGGCCTGGAGAACCTTGTATCAAGCTCCAGAGTTGGACGTTTCATCCTGGAATGCTGTATTAACTGCATATACACAAAGAAATCTTTTGCGTGGAGCGATAGGAGTGATGACCACAATGCCTTCCATGAACGAGGTGTCTTGGAATATCATGCTAACTGCATATGCTCAAGTTTGCGACTTTAAGAGTTTAATAGCTCTATTCTACAAAATGGCAGTGGAGGGAGCAGTAGTAACAGATTCTACCTTCTTGTGCGTTATCATTGGGTGCAGTAGAGCAGGAGTTGTAAGCACTGGATTGAAACACTTTCGTTCTATGGTTGCTGACTATGGTTTTAACCCAGAGATCCAACACTACTGCTGCTTGATTGATCTTCTTGGTAGATCTGGGTACTTGAAAGAGGCAAGGGAACTGATTCTCAATATGCCCTTTGTACCAGATGATATCAGTTGGAAGTGCCTCCTTGCAGCTTGTAGATGTCACCATGACCAAGAAGGTGCCACTTTTGCTGCAAAAAGAGCCTTGAACTTGCAGCCAAGACGCTCTGCACCATACCTCCTCTTGGCCACAAGCTACTAGGCTATTTAAATTGTTGAAAATCTTCTAAATTACTTCTAAATTTTGTATAGCAAAATAAGAAATTGAGAAGGATTGTGGTTCAAAAAACTTTTAAAGGCATAGAAAGGCTTGACAATATGGAACTTGTGTCATGTTGTATTTAAACTATATATGACAACTTGATCTTGAAGAATTTTGGAATAAACATGGTTTAAAAAATTAAAACCCTAAACCCGGACATATTCTTTCCGTATTTCTCGCATATCCCCTGTGTACGGTAGAATTTAATTTTCCCACCCACCGCAGAAACATAAAACCTCACCGACCCGTGGCCTTCGCCAACCCCAGGCTGCCACGTGGCGATTTGAACGCTGTGAAAGAGTCCCTGGGGTTTTTGGAGAGCAAACAAGAACACACCGGAGCATCGCAGCGCTCGCAAGATCTTCATTCTCTCTCTCGATTCATCGTCCTGCAGGGTGAGTGGTAAATTCTTGGACTGAAATCTCGGGGATTTTGGCGCTGGAAGCAGGCATGGTGCCAAGAATCGTCGCCTAGGGATCCATCGCGCCGCGCCATCGACCGATCCCCTCCATCCCCATGGACTGGAAAGATCCGCGGCTCACCGAGCAGATATTGCAGTACACGCTCATCTCCTCGGCGCTCATCGCGATCGCCGCGGGCTACCTCACCGCCTCGCTCAAGACGATGTTCCTCGTCTATGGCGGCTGCGTGTTCGTGACGCTGCTCGTCATCGTCCCCGACTGGCCCTACTTCTGCCGCCATCCCCGCGAGTGGATGACTCCAAAGAGGGCCGACGCTCCGTTCCACCACCAGCAGCAGCGATCATCGCCGGGCCTGGAATCCATCCGAGAATCGGCGCTGGATGCCAGCAAGAGAGATTGATTGATCGACGCTTTCCTCCTCTCCTCTCCTCTCTCTCTCTCTCTCTCTCTCTCTCAGAGCTTTCTAATCCGATCCTGGCAAGAATAATCACCAAGAAGGATTCGATTTCTCTTCGTCTTCTCGGGGATTTCTCCTCCCCCCTCCTCCCAGCGCTCCAGATTCATTGATTTCTTCGCCCCAGTACCAGCGCATCGTTGTTCTCTTTTAATGCTTGGCAGCCTTTCGCTCTGGTGGCCACTACCTGACATAAATTCAATGGAACCTTTTTTTATTTTTCTTTGTGAACGTTAGAACCCTAGAAATGCGAAAGAGGAAGAACCCTAAATTTCGTTGGCTATGGCGGAGGAGGAAGAAGGCGCGGGCTTCCACCTAGGGCAGCGCGTCCGGAGCGCGAGAGAGGCGCAGCAGCTCGGCACGGTGAGGTATGTCGGGCCAGTGGAGGGCTACGACGGGGTCTGGATTGGAGTGGATTGGGACAGCGGACAATCTCGCCACGACGGCTCCGTCAAAGGCGTTCGCTACTTCACCGCCAGCGGCGAGAAGTCGGGATCGCTCGTGAGGCCTTCGAATCTCAGCGCTGGGTGGAGTTTGCTCGAAGCTCTTGTCTCTAGGTACAAGATCAGCATGAGCAAAGACGATGCAGGTACTACATTTTCTTTTCTTTCTTTGCCAAGTGTGAACTGTGTGTGTTCTTCGTGGTGGCAGAGGATATGTATCTCATGTCTGTGAGGCAGAGAAAAGTTGCTGTGGAGCTCGTTGGGCAGAGCAAAGTGGAAGAGAAGCAAAAGAAGCTCAACGAGCTCCGCGCCGCATCGCTAGTCTTTGCCGGTGTTTCGTCACTCGGACCACCTGGAGAGATATCTTCTTCTGCTCCAAGTATGTCTTTTTGGCTTGCTTTCTTTCTTATCTGACAGTTTCATTGGGGTTGTTATCATGTCAGATATTGAAGAACTCGACTTGACGGGGAATCTGATCTCCGACTGGAACGTGAGTATTTAGCTCTACTTCTTTTTCTAGCATCTTTATGATCTACAGCTTGTTGCGTATAGTTTGTCACTTGTCTCTGCGAGGAGCTGCCGCGTTTGAGAGCCGTAGACCTCAGCTATAATCGAATTGATATCCGGCCAGAGATGCCACGGCCTCCTCTTAATTTGAGGACTGTTGTGCTGAATTACTGCTCTCTCTCTTGGGAACAGGTGCGCAACAGCGTTAGCGTTAGACCTTTTGTGAAAGTTTTTTGTAGGTTGACATGCTGAGCAAGTCGCTGCCGTTTGTGGAGGAGCTCCATCTTCGACATAACAATATCCGTCTCTTACAGGTTTGTGCTCTACGTTATTTCCTTGCTTTTCAATTCTGTGAATAATGCGTGTATGCTCTAGACTTCTGGCGAAGCAGTTGAGGGATTTGAGGAGCTCCGGGTTCTCAACCTTGAAGGCAACAGCCTTGAAAGTTGGGACGAAATGATGAAGCTATCAAGCCTCAGAAGGTAGTCTTCTGTTTCATTTTCTTGGGAGTAAGCTGACTGGCCGTCTGCAGCTTGAAGACTCTAAACGTCTCTGGAAATGCGATCACCAAAGTTTCCTATCCGGAAAACATAAAAGACCAGTGGCCTTTCTTGCAACTATCATGTCTTCTTCTAGGTATGTTTCTCGTTTCTTATTTCACTCCTAATTTACTTTATGTTCTGGATGTAAGGAAAGAATCAATTGGCAGACTGGGAGTCTGTGGATGCTCTTGACAAGTTTCCCAATCTCACGGTAGTCATCATGCATTATACTTTGGATTTTCTTTTATAACAAGTGCCTGTAGGAAGTAAGGCTGAGCGAGAATCCAATAGCAGATACAAGCAAAGGTGGTGCACCAAGATACGTTTTAGTAGCCCGGCTCAGCAAAATAACTGTTCTCAACGGGAGTGAAGTAAAGCAATGTGTCAATTATGCTCGGTTGTAATTGGTATCTTACAGGTCAAACCACGGGAAAGGAAAGACTCGGAGATCAGGCGAGTATAATAACCAGTATGATAGACCTCACA